CAAAAAGAATTTCCCGAGATATGACAAATGTGAAAAAGACCGTTGTTCGAATTCTATAGAAGTAAAACATTTATTTCCTTAGAAAACATTCATCACTACAAAAAAGAGACAAGTGGAGTACAAAACACGTTGCATCGGCCCTTTAAAAAACTTGCAGCAAATGGTTTTGTCTCCTCATCAAAGACGTTGTGGTCTTTCTTTCTCGCTCTCATTTACTAAGGTAGAAATACAAATTAACCCGCAAATGAAACAGAACAGGTAGTCAGCTCAGCTGGTAATGCGTCGACGCCAGAGCAGAAGCAACAGTCGGCGGAGCAGAAAGATCGAAGGAAAAATCGAAAAATCGATCGTACGAGCCTGTCGCTAACCAACAGTCGGCAGGAATATAGCTTTTCCGTTAGCTTATTTCTATATTAATAATTAATAGTACTAACTCTCTTTCCATCACAAGCGACGCGCTTCGCCTGCTTTCTCCCTGTGTCCATTAGGGCTCCTGTCCAGATCGAAGAGACGACAAAAAAACACCGCCGAAGCAAGTTTGATGACACCCTTCTAAAGTACTCCCTCCTGATTTAGAGGGCCTATCTTTTTTTTGTTAGTCTCGTTTCTATTGTTCCCCATCATGTAATTAGATCTCGAGGTACATTAAATAATGCATGGAAGAATTAGATAAAGCTCGGGAATACATGTATTTTTTTATCATTTACTGCCCGCATGCATGCGTACAGTTAATGCATCAGTGAACACAATTTTTTGACAAGAAAGAACACATCAATTGAGTACTTTTGCAAATTATAAAATTTATTTCACCACTCATGATCTGCCTTAGTTGGGAAGATTTTTGAATTAGACCTTTTAAACCAGAAGGGAAAGAGCAATGTACTCCTACTCCTACTTATGAAAGGTACCTAACTGATCAAATTTGCTAATACAGGAAGGTACCAATCATTTTCACGCCCATATCGTAAGAAGGTTCCAAATCATTTTCTCGCTGTAATTATTCTTTAAGTGAAGTACAGCTAAGCAGTTGGACTTAATGATCCAGCGCCACTAAAAGAACCTACGTGCACCAACGAGGCCATGGTGCGTGCCCTTGCACCTTGAAGGCGCGTGAGACTCTTATATCGAAGAGAAAAGATTATCATGAAAATATTTTTTGTCGTGATAGCTAGGGATATAAAGAAGTACAGAGCCGTGCAAACGAGCAAGAGGGACTACGTTACTTATACTCCCTCCGCTCCTAAATATTTGTCTTTTAGAGATTTCAAATGGACCAGCACATACGGATGTATATAGACATATTTGAGTGTAGATTCACTCATTTTACTTCGTATGTAGTCACTTGTTGAAATCTTTCGAAAGACAAATATTTAGGAACGGAGGGAATATATGATATGAAGGCAACGCAATGCTGGAGTGGCTAGCCACTCTTGAAATTAGTAGCCATGGACAGTACTGGCGTGCGCAGTGGTTGTGGCACCTCGGCACCCGCTGATCTACGAAGCCGGTCGGCACTGTCTGTACGCACTAAGGCGAGAGCACCAGCCGCCGACACCGATGAACGAACGGCGTCGAAGGAGGAGGAGCCCGTGAGCCCGACTGCGAGACTCATGGAAGACGTATACGTCGTCGTCACCATCGGCCTCGGCTCGCCCATACTCCGATTAAATCCTCAACTAAGATTTGGTAACTAGCAGCCTCCTGTCTTCCAGTATGTACTCCGATTCTTTATTCCATAGGCATCACTAATACTAACCTCTTGTTATGATCATGGATTTGTGCAGTGCAATGGCGGGCATTTAGCACATGCCTTGCCGAGCTCCCCGGCGTACAGTGCCTAACTTGCAACCACAACATAGGCTTTGTCCCCTGCCTTGCAACGGTGCGTTGGCGACATGGAGGGCCATTGTGGCAGGGAGAGAGGCGCTTCAGCTGGGCTTAATCAAGCGTGTGGGCAATGGAGCCACAATTAATGTTTGGTACGATAAGTGGATACAGGAAAGCCCGAGGATGTCACCCATTGTACGTCCCGGAAATGCTACGCTGAATTTGAACATGGAAATTGGACATGGTTTGGTACCAGTTCTTATCACCAATCATCATACGCTAAGGCAATCTTAAACATTCCGTTGCGTCAAGAGGGTGGTGATGACTTTTGTGCTTGGAACCTTGAGAGATTAGGTCTATACTCTGTCTAGACTAAGAAACGTTTTGTGTTTATTATCTTGCATCAGACACATGTCTCGTTGTTTTATACCTTGCAATTTCTATATTTGTGTACCTTTAAACATTCTCAAAACTGAGTAAAGGCATTCATTGTTCTCAAACAAAATAACACGGTGGTACATCACATAGTTAGAAGATAGCTCAGCATGGCGTGAAAGGAAAAGCAACTACTTTTTTCTAAAAGCAAGATAGCAACTGAATACGATTGTTCTTTAAGGCAACAATCAACAACTGAAATTCATTCACTGGGTGTCATGTCTGTTGGCCAAATATCACACGTAAATGATGAGACAACGCGTGTGTGATGATGCATCGACAAGGATGAGACATGTGAACATAGAGCCAGAAGCCAACATACTAGATAAGATATGTTGTAATCACTCGGCTCAAACAAGAGAGAAACATTCAAGCAGGAGTATGCTTCTACTAGTTTTGATACTCCATGTCTCGCTGTTTTATTCCCTTTGAGTTTTATTTTTGTACGTTTAAACATTCTCAAATTGAGTTAATGGACTCATTTTTCTCAAAGAAAAACAAGATGATACATCACATGGTTAGGAGATGGATCAGCACGGCGTGAAAGGTAAGGCAACTACTTTTGTCAAAAAGCAAGATGGCAACCGAATACGATTGTTCTTTAAAGGCGACAACCAATATCAGAAATTAATTAACTGCGTGTCATGTCTGTTGGCCAAATATCACGAGATTCACGAGTAAATCATGAGACAGCGCAAGTGATGATGCTTCGGGAATGAGAAGACAGCGCGAGCGATCTGATCCCTGTTAATGTGAATATACTACGCTCACGGCATATACAGATTGTTTTTAAAGGGAGACGTGTGGCTTCCTCCTAACCACAGAATTATCTTCCTGAATGTGTACTCCCTCTGTCAATTTTTTATAGAACTTTTTAGGTCACTAAGTTACTTTTTTTTTAATTGTTTGGATTGCTTACCACATGTGTCACGTGGTAGGTCACTAAGTGACCTTAAAAGTTTAGAGGCAGTAACTGTCGTAGGTGTAGCAATTGCCCGAGTTTATGCGCACCTGTTTTTCATAACCAACTTCTGTGATCACCACGCGCACTATAAACCGGCTAACATGCGATCCGTGCCAGATGTGTCAGATGAAAGAGGATGGTGTCCCCCGGCGCTGGGTTGGAACAAACTGAACACAGATGTCTCCTCTGTGTCGTCTGAGATAGCAGGGACTGGAATGATCTTGCATGATCACTGTGGGGTCGTTAACTTCTCATCGTGTAGAGCCCTATATTCTTGTAGAGATGCCTTGGAGGTTGAGCTCTGTGCATGCATGTAAGGGATCTCAGTGACACTTCAACGCAGCGATCTCCTGATAGTAGTGGAGATGGATTCTCTGGAGGCTGTTACCATGATTTCATGTGAGGTTGTCGACCGATCAATCTACGCATCCATCATGAAGGAGATAAAGTACTTGCTGTCACTTAGACAAACTTGTATTACTCATGTAGTTAGATCTCAAAATAAAGCTAGTGATACTTTAGCGTCGTTTGCTAGATCTCAAGGCAGGACCATGACCTGGCTCGGGGCTGGTCCAGATGAGGTGATGGAGTTTGTTTCTCTAGATTGTAAGGATATCTTGAATGAGTAATACAAGTTTTGAATCCGAAAAAAAAACATGCGATCCGCGCTACTACCTCTAACTTTTTATAAAACATTTTTAGAGGGAGTACTAATTGTCTACTACGTGGTCGGACTTTACCGCAAAAAAAAACTATGTGGTCGAACAATTTCCTTTTTAGAATGAGCAATTGCTCCTAATCACGAAGCAGTGTGTGGACAAACTATTTTCCATGACACACGGTGGATCATTAATTCGACTTATTGTTTATTTGTATATTCATAGGGACAGGATGGGGTCAGTCTGACTGAGAACTGAGTTTGGTTCAGTTGATTCGTTATCAACCATCGGATGCAAAACCAATGGCCAGATGGTCTTGTCAACTTCTTCCTTCCCTTTCTTCTTCCCCAACCGTCAGGCTTGCCGCCGCACTTGACCATCCCTCTGAATTGGCGAACCCCCCGAATTCCTTGGCGAACCTGCACCTCCCACACCCCGAACCGTCAAGATGCGGACTCGCCTCGCCGGGTATGGCTTGTTCCTAGTCGAGGCCTTTCCAGCGCCCCCGGGCCTCCCTTTGCTCGCTCCGCCGCCGCCGTCGGCAGCCAGTGCTCCACAAGGCTGCTGCCTTCTTTCGCTGCCTTCTTTCCAAAAGAATCGAGTGACCCAAATTTCAAATTCAGATGAATGACGTCCGGCTATACTGATATTCATAATACTAAAAAGTTTGATGACACCCGTTTTAGATAGCAGTGTATTCCTACTCGCGGAAGGGACCTAATTAATTAAATTTGTTAATAATATTGGAAGGTAGTAGTACGAATCATTTTCATGCCCATATAATAGGAAGGTACCAAATCATTTTCTTGATATAATTATTCTTTAAAAACAAGAACATATACAATCCACGTCAGCACACACGCATCTTATAGCATCACATCTAATGACTATAAAAGGTGAATGAAACCAAATTATATCTCATTTAGATGAGTTCTAGCAAAACTGTGGAATAAATGCTCCAGCCCCACTGAAAAACCTACGTGGACCAACGGAAGCCATGGCGCGTGCCCTTGGTGACTTGCCCCTCGAAGGTGCTCGACGCTCTAGTCGATTGTTGATTGTATATACATGCAACAGCGCTCCATTAGCTAGCCACTCTTGCAATTTTAATAGCCATGGACATCGGTGGTCGCCCCTCGGCATCCGCTGATCTGCGAAGCCGGCCAGCACTGTCTGTACGGACTAAGGCGAGAGCACCAGCCGCCGACACCGATGAACGGACGGCCTCGGAGGAGGAGCCTGTGAGCCCGACTGCGAGACTCATGGAAGACGTATACGTCGTCGTCACCATCGGCCTCGGCTCGCCCATAAACGTACCCGCATTCACCGCCGGCGTCGCCAACCTAATCTCCCCCTATCCACGCTTCCACTGCATTCAGGTACGTACGTGCTCTGGTTGAGTGATCGAGTATATATCAACTAGAGTGAAGAGCTGAAGACGGAGAGGCGATTAAAACTTGCCTGGCTATGCATACACAGGTGACCGAGGGTGGCAACCGGCGGTGGGCACGCGTGAAGGTGAACGTGGACGAGCACATCGTCGTGCCGGAGCTGGATCCCGTCGCCGTGGCCGCTAACCCGGACCGGGCCGTGGAGGACTACGTGGCGTCGCTGTCCGTGTACCCGATGGACCCTTCCCGTCCGCGCTGGGAGTTTCACCTCCTCGACTTCCCGACCTCCGAGCCCGGGGTGGTCTCCACCGTGGCGATCCGCGCGCACCACTCCCTGGGCGACGGCGTGTCGCTCATGGTACTCCTCCTGGCGTCCGCGCGGAGCGCTGCCGACCCGACGAGCCTGCCGGTCATGCCGCAACAGTCCGTGCGTACGGGCGCCATCTACGCGCGGCAGCCGCGGCATGCCGGCGCCCTGGCGCGGGTCTGGTCCTGGTTCGTGCTCATGTGGCACACCATGGTGGATCTTTGCTTCTTCGCCGCGACGATTTTGTTTCTCAGAGACCCGCACACGGTATTCAAGCCTGCGGCCGACGGCGGCGATGATGATGGTGATGGTGTGTTCCACCACCACAACCGCCGTTTTGTGCATCGAAGCCTTAGCCTTGACGACGTCAAGTTCGTCAAGAATGCCATGAACTGCGTAAGTATATGAATGAAGATACCTTCGGTTCGCTTGTTTGGAGCATCTACACCCTAGACACTAATTAAGCATATGCTAGAGGCGACATACGAATAATTTAGCACACCACTCGTAACCTAATTAATTTGTTATAATATTGATGTCTCTAGCACTTACAGTCATAGATGGTGATGAGGGATTGGATAAAATCTTATACTCTAAACTCCTAATTTACAGTGTAAGAGGGAACGAAAAGAGAAATCAGACATGTCCACTAAACACCTAACTATAGCATAAAAATTCTTCTAAAACTGAATAATTTCGTCTCCGTTGTTTTGCGTCTCCACCACAGACTGTAAATGACGTGCTACTCGGAGTAGCTTCTGCCGCTTTATCTCGATATTACTTTCGCAAGTCTGGTAAGTCCTCAAGGCCGACTGATCTATGGTGTTTACTGCACGTTAACTCCTGTAACTTACCTTCTTTAATGTCAGGTGACATTAACACCAAGGAAATATGTCTTCGATCAGTCCTTGGTGTCAATATAAGGCCAACAACTAGCCTACAAGTAAGATTTTCCCCCGCAGCTATGTGTAAGAAACACCAAAGGCATGCCATTGTTCCTTCTTTATGTCTAAATGCATGCAAATTCTTTCTTTTAATCCATCTACATATTTCTGAACAAAGTGATTACTCTTTCTGGTCCATGTGTAAAAAACATGATGGAAGACACCGGGAGCATGTATGAATTACTATAAAATTAGTCGTCTCAAATGACTCGAAATCTCCATCCAAATAGCATTCCTAGCCATCGGCAGAAGGGAGTCTTTGGTACCTCGTCCAAGTTCTTCACAAATTGCTCACGAGGCATTTGCGATAGATCTCACCACAAATGGTTCTTACTGAGTGTCTTTTAGAATAAGTGTTCCCGTAAAAAAAGAACAAGTGCTATTGCATACAACTCTTCATTTAGAGTCGAAGAGTGTTTGAGCTTCACCCGCAAAAAAAAAAGAAGAAGAAGAGTGTTTGAGCTTCACTAGAAACTCCTTGTTTAGATCCGCCCATGATAGATGTACCACAAAGGCCCGACACCTGGGTGGTATCTTTTCCATTTATTAAGCTCAAGCATGGATACATGAATGTTACAAACATGAGTGAAATGACATTCCTCTCACATTGGTCATAGAAAACACAACATGAATATTATAGTTTCATTCAAATATCAATAAGATGTTCATTCAAACATCAATAATGTGACATGAATATGTTATAGATGTAACCCGCGTAGAAACGACATGCTTTTCCATGCGTTGCTGTTACACATAAATAGAGATGAAGAAGCTGCATGCCTTTCTTTCTTTTATTCTTTAAAAAATTATCTTGTTGAATCTTTCATGGGTCCGGTGAAACAAAAATGATTATAATCTTGACCATTCATACAAATAGACAACACGAGAAGCTAAAATCAAACATGGGTAGCCAAGTATCAATATAAACTAACTAGCGAGGTTTGAAAGGTTAATATATATTTGGGTTGAGAGTGCCCTCCTTGGTTACTCGAACCATATAACATAGATGTTTACAATGATTTTATAATAAACAATATAATTATATTCTGGTATTTATAGCAAGTATTCTTGTGTGGTGTCACAAGAAAGGACATATTTACAAGTTTGCGCCCCCTCCCAGGCCTGCTGTATAATGCCCCTATGTGAGGAGGTCATGAGGCCCACCATAGAATGTGGGTAGCCACCTCAGACCTTTTACTGATGCGGGTGGCCTTTTTTTGTAAGGTCACCGGCCCTGGGATAGTCTGGTCACATTGCATATGGCACTAGTTCAAGACTAAGTATCTTAAGTAATGCACCAAAGTGTTAAAATGTGATAGGTATGATTGAAGTAGACAAACATGTTTTAAGAAGAGGAAAAATCAAACTTACTAATGTAATGGTAAATTTCTACAAAGTTGTTATGACATCATGTGTAAATCAAGGCATTAGCTCATTGTATAGCAAGTTCTTAGCGTCATTAAAAAATTAACAACTTGATATCTAATAGATTTTTCGATGTCATCAAACTTTGGCGACAACACGGTAAAATATAAGAAAATAGCCCAACTTGTAGTGAGGGCTAAAGTATAAAAAATATCGACAAGATCTAGTGGCAACATATATGTTTTAGTAACTCCTTTCGGTCCTTTTCAGTCTGTATATATTTTTTGTCTGAAGTCAAAGTCTCTACTTTAACCAAACTTATCAAAAAAAGTATCAACATTCACAATGCCAAATCAATATTGTGAGATTCATTATG